GTGGAGAGTGGGGAAAAAAAAGAGGGAATATAAAGGTTGAGGTTGGGGGAAAATGGGGGAAATAAGGGTGGAGGTTGGGGGAAAAATGGGGGAAATAAGGGTGGAGGTTGGGGGAAAAATGGGGGAAATAAGGGTGGAGGTTGGGGGAAAATAAGGGTTGAGATTGGGGGAAAAAAAGAGGGAATATAAAGGTTGAGGTTTGGGGAAAATGGGGGAAATAAGGGTGGAGGTTGGGGGAAAATAAGAGGAAAATAAGGGTTGAGGTTGGGGGAAAAATGGGGGAAATAGGGGTTGAGGTTGGGGGAAAAAAAGAGGAAAATAAAGGTTGAAGTTGGGGTAAAAAAGAGGGAAATAAGGGTTGAGGTTGGGGGGAAAATGGGGGAAATAAGGGTGGAGGTTGGGGGAAAATCAGGGTTGAGGTTGGGAAAAAAAAAGAGGGAAAATAAAGGTTGAGGTTGGGGGAAAAAAGGAGGAATATAAAGGTTGAGGTTGGGGAAAATTGGGGGAAATAAGGGTTGAGTTTGGGGGATAAAAAAGGGGGGAAAACAGGTTGAGTTTGGGAATGGAAGAAGAATAAGGGTTGAGGTTGGGGGGGAAAAAAAAGGGAAAATAAGGGTTGGAGATGGGAAATAAAAGGGGGAAATAAAGGTTGAGGTTGGGAATGGAGAGAAAATAAGGAGGAAAAATAAGGATTGCGGTTGGGAATGGAAGAGAATTAAAAAAGAAGAAAAATAAGTGTTGAGGATGGGAAGAAAAAAAGGAGAAAAAATAAGGATTGAGATTAGGAATGGAGGAAAGTAAGGATTGAAGTTGGGGAAAAAAAGAGGAGGAAAAATCAGGATTGAGGTTGGGAATGGACAACAAGGAGCTGGCGGTGGTGGAGGAGGGTGAAGCCTCCACACAACAGGTTGGATGGGTTTGGCTTTGCTCTGCCCCGCTTTCAAACAGAACCAAAAACCAGGAGAAAACTTTAAAAGAATGCTCAAAAGGTTTTCAGCTCAACAAGGCTCGATTTCCCCCTGAAAAATCAGGAAATTGGTGCGTGGAGAACGGGAGAAAATCAAAGTTTAAAGCTGGGAGCTCTCCCAGCAGCTCCACCCTCGCCTTCCCTTTTGTTTTTATCCCGCAGACCACGCGGAGACGCGGAATTCCAATATTCCATGTGACTTACTGTCCGAAAAATCCACATGCAGCGACTTCCTCTGTCCCCCCGCAGCTGCCCACGCTCCGGGACGGGCTCTGCTCCTTCCAACACCTCCTCCTTCCCTTCTCCGGCTCCTCTTCCTTTCCCTCTTCTGCTCCCGACGCTTTTTGAAGGAGCCTTTTATGAGTCAAAGGTCCCGAGCATGGGAAGGTCCAAAGACTCCTCCGCTCCCGGCTGCGATTTCATCAGCAGCTGAAATGTAACCAGAGAGCAAACACGGTGACACCGGGGCACCACCCAGCGCCTTCTCCCGGAAAAAAAACACAGGGAATTTCTCTGGAATTGCCCATTTTCCTGCGCCCGGTTACCTTCGAGAACACTTTCCACGCTGCCCCTGCCCGAGCTATTCTTAGGCTGGTGCGTCAACTTCCCGCTGGCTGAAGGAATCCGGCTCTGTTTTCCCTGCTCGGCGCAGTTTCCAGCCGGGCCAGGGGTTTTCCATAAAATACCGGGAATGCTCCCGGGCCCGCCCCGCTCCCACCTCCCCCAGCGCCGCCGGGGCGGCTCCCGCTGTGCGGGGAGAAGCTGCCGAGCCCCGAGCTGGAGCTTGCGGCTCCCCGAGGAGGTTTGGGGGGGGTCCCCAAAGGAGGTTTGGGGGGTCCCCGATTTTTTTTTT